TTCGTGCCCGAACAAGTACTCGGAAGGATATTTTGGGTTCTACAGAATGGCCCGTATCCAACGGGTGTTCAGTTATGCACGAATGGGGAGTAATATTCTACTATTTTTCTAGCCAGCGCCGCAGACGCTCCTTAGATCTGGTTGCCAATTGCCGTTTTTTTTCGCCCTATGTACTTGCATCCACAACTGCATGTATATTCATACACACAATATGAAGTGGCGTACAATAGCAAGGCATCCTTCGCAGTTGGAATCGGAAGGATCTTTGTCGAGTTGCCAAATATGAGCTCAGAAACATAGTAGGTCCTTTCAGCGGTGTTGTATAAGCGTCTCTAAATTGCCTTTAACGTGCTATCACCATTAAATTGCAAGGACATGAAAACAGGCTATTTTGGAGCTGACTGTTCCATGACCTTTTGCCGTAAGGGTTTGCTATTCTTGTCAATAAAGTGAAATGGGTAACCACGCTTGAGTAGTGTTTCCATGAGGCTGGCAATTTCTGCATGCAATTTATCCATTGAGCAGATTTTTCTTGTCATCTGCAAGAGGGTGCAAACTAAGTTACTGTCCTTTTCATATATTGTTGTGGAAAACTGTTCGTGTTATGGAACCGTCTTTCTGTCTGTACATGTGAACGCCTAGGTAAGAAAGCTGGTTCTCGCGTTCTACTTCCATAGTAAATTGCATTCTCGGGTGCAGACTGTTCATCATACACTTCTTCGGCTGCTTTTATGTTTTTAACAATCGCAAAGATATCATCTTCTGTAGAGTGTTGTCCTTTTTAATGTTGAAGATACTTTTTCTTCAAGATGAACCATAAATGTGTGTGCAAAGATAAGACCAAGGGAACTATCTATTGCTACCCCGTCAACTTGTCTATACATTTGGCCATTGAATAGGAATTGGACATTCTTTGTGCATAATTGTAGTAAGTCTCGTAATATTTCCGGGCACAGGCGAGATTTGGAAGCCTATGCACAAATAATATCAATTGCTTCATCCAGAGGCACTTTGGTAAATAACGACTCAACGTCCAGGGAAAGCATATATTTGCCGGCAGTGTTGTGATGCCTAATTTCGTCGGCAAAGTAAAAACTGTCTCTCAAAGTATTTGTGGAGAAGCTATCGCGGATTGGTTGTAATTGAACCTCCTGACCTGTTTCTATGGCATCTTCTGTATGAATTCAATTGTTGTGTTTTGTCATTCGTTACTCGCTTTATGCAGCGAGAGTACGCCGCTAATAAGCACTCGCGAAATTTATGGTTCCATTAAATTCTGCTGTACACGCAATCTTGAAACTTTTTTTAATAATCTTAGGCGTATTTATTCGCGTAGTTGGTTTTAGATGTTCATCTTTCACAGCATGTTTGCATGATTGTAAATTCATAATTTTCACAGATTTGTATAGGTAATTAGGTGTGTGAAACTCAATATTTAGTTGAAAGTGTGGCGGAGTGCCATATTTCTCCCCCCTTTCGTTTTTCAAGGCTCGCTGCCCCATATTTGCGTCCTCACGAACAACTGTTTCACTGCCTTATCTCACTGGCGCCGCTGCTCCCAAAGGCTTGACCTTGCAACTGCTTCTGGCTAACTGATAACAACCGCGTCAACGCCCCCGTCCTTCGGCGTTCCTGCAGTCCGGACAATTAACCTCAGTTTAATAAGCGCACCTTCTTAAGAGCCACATAACGCGACACTTCTGGCCAACGCAGCAGGGGGCCTTTGCAGGCAACATTCCTCGGGTAATTGCAACTCACCACTCACAGACCACTTCAACTAGCTTCACAATCCTACTAAAGCAACCGTCATCACCCCACACAACAGACGGTCGACACTCACAGGCCTGGCTGGACGCAGTCAGGACCAGCCCTGCTTTCGCCAGTGGCCACTGCCACCTGAGACTGCAACTAGGAGTTCTGCATACAGTAAACCACTCCTTCTGGTGACTCTTGCCTTTGAACTTCCAAAGTG